CCAAGGACATTCAACTGGCTAGACGTATCCGTGGCGAGCGCGCATAAATTGCTTCGCTATTCTGTCTTGTATTTATTACAAGCAACATTCAACAAATCGGTCCTTTTCAGGACCACAATATTTCTAACAAGGAGATTCTTATTTTCGCTTAAACTACTATTTTCAGATTTTAGTTGATCTCAAAAATAAATCGATCGTCCTACAATATATAAATTGAAAATATATCTCGAATATGATTGAAAACTATTATACGTATAAAGAAAATATTTTATGTTGCCAACGGTTGTACTATTAACAGAACGCTGTTAATAGTACATGAACAGAGTGCTGTTAATAACACAGCCGGGCTATGTGGGGGAGGAGCAATCCTGTTAATGGGATCTGGCATTAACATTTTATTTATTTACTTATTTTTACAGAACAATATATATAGCTTTATTGAACTTACAAAAAAGTTGCACTTTTATTTGGTGTTTAGTGTAAATTAAACATTTTCAGTAGTTAGCCAATTGCGTTTCAATTGAGATTTAACTTATTTCTGATTGTGTGTTTTTTTGAAAACATTTTGATATACAAGTAAAAGGATTTTAAATATTTTTTATATTTTCTGCCTTATGCGCCTTGTGTGTCTCATAAGATAAAATAATATTTTAACGCTGATGTATTTCTTTGCGCAAGATAAGTGTATCTGACATGTAATGTTGAATATGATGGTATGAAATAATTATATGTTTGAATTAAGTAAAGAAAATATTAATATAATATTTGCATTCTAATTTTTAAATTTATATTTATTACTATATTTATAATGTTAAGGAGAAAATTTTATTTTTCGGAACGATTTTTGTTTAGCGTTGGCTCAAAAGTGTGACTGTTTTTAACGGCAAATGGTTTTGTTGAAATCATGAAACTCTATTATACGTATAAAAAAAAATATTTTATTTATTTATTTATTTTTACATAATAATATATATAGATTTATTGAACTTACAAAATAGTTGCATGTTCATAAGGCGTTTGGTTAAATTAAACATTTTCAGTAGTTAGCCAATTGCATTTCAATTGATATCTAACTTATTTCTGATTGTGTGTTTTTTTGAAAACATTTTGATATACAAGTAAAAGGATTTTAAATATTTTTTATATTTTCTGCCTTATGTGCCTTGTGTGTCTCATAAGATAAAATAATATTTTAACGCTGATGTATTTCTTTGCGCAAGATAAGTGTATCTGACATGTAATATTGAATATGATGGTATGAAATGATTATATGTTTGAATTAAGTAAAGAAAATATTAATATAATATTTGCATTCTAATTTTTAAATTTATATTTTTTACTATATTTATAATGTTAAGGAGAAAATTTTATTTTTCTGAACGATTTTTGTTTAGCTTTGGCTCAAAAGTGCGATTGTTTTTAACGGCAAATGGTTTTGTTGAAATCATATTTAATATATAAATCCATTGCGTTTGTTCATATTAATGGTTGCATTTAATTAAGAAATTATTAAATTATTATCTTTTAAATTTATATATTAACATTTTTATTATTATCTTATTAAAAAAATGGTTTTTCCAATATAACTTATTTTGCATTCACACAAACTTCAACTTTGAGGGGCAATAAAAAATCATAAAATTATAAAAATGTAAGTAAAAACTAATTTTATGAACTTTTCAAACATTTCAGAATATAATCTAAAACATATTTAGTGTGGATATAAAATTTAAACTGTTTAAAAAGACAAGTCAATAAAATGGTAATTGTAAACTTTTGCGTATCGTACATTCAATGGTACAAACATTCTCGTTCGACCTTCCTCCTCGATTCTCATTCAAACGGGTGACCAAATTTCATGGTATTTTCGAATTTAACAATAAGTAAAACGTTGCGGTTTGTTTTTTATAAAGTGAAAAGTAAAGAAGTGAATAATAGAAAATGTCTGATTCCGCAGTTGCAGTATCCGCGTCCCCTGTAACTCCCCAAACAGCCTCAGCTGAGAAGAAGGTGGCTGCTAAAAAAGCCTGCATCTGCATCCGCATCTAAGGCAAAGAAAACGGCGGCTCCTCCAACACACCCACCAACTCAGCAAATGGTGGATGCATCGATAAAAAATCTAAAGGAACGTGGAGGCTCATCACTTTTGGCTATTAAGAAATATATCAGTGCCACTTACAAGTGCGATGCCCAGAAACTGGCTCCTTTCATTAAGAAGTACCTGAAGAATTCAGTTGCGAGTGGAAAGTTGATCCAGACAAAAGGGAAGGGTGCATCTGGTTCATTTAAGCTGTCTGCATCGTCCAAAAAGGAGCCCAAGCCAAAGGCATCCTCCATAGAGAAGAAATCTAAGAAGGTAACTGCATCGGCAGCAGCCAAAAAGAAGAGTATATCTGCCACCAAAAAAGTAAAGGGTGCTGCTGATAAGAAGTTATCGAAGGCTGTGCTGACCAAAAAGAGCACCGACAAAAAGAAAGCGGACAAAGCAAAGGTCAAAGATGCAAAGAAAGTAGGAACCATTAAAGCGAAGCCCACAACAGCAAAGGTGGCAAAGTCAAGCGCAGCAAAGCCAAAGACTCCGAAACCTAAAACTACAAGTGCTAAGCCTAAAAAGGTTGTCTCGGCAGCATCACCGAAAAAAGCAGCTGCAAAGAAGCCAAAAGCAAAAGCTGCGTCCGCAACAAAGAAGTAATTTCACTTCGAAATTACTCGGCAGGGTAGAAGGTAGAAACGAATTTCAAAACTATGAAATTTGCAATTAATCAAAGTCCTTTTCAGGACTACTATTACATATTTCCAAGAGAAAAAATACTTTCATAAACATATCTGTAGGTCAATATAAAAGGAGAAAGCCAATTTAGCCAAAAATAGCTAGAATATTATTTATTTATTTACTTATTGTTAAAAAGAATTTTAAATAACAAGTTTCAAGCCAGAGCAACGGAGGCTTTCAATTCAATTTTCAATGTTTGTTCTCTTTTTTCTTTGATTGTTGTTGTTGTTCTGGTTGGGCTTCTTTTCGCTAAAAAATATTGCTCTTTACCATAAACACAAAAGATTTTTGATAGTTGTTCGTTCGAATTATCACGATAATTCATTGAAATATTTAAAATTCTTTGAAAAAAGATTTGTGGCCCTGAAAAGGGCCTTTTGCTTTCGGATGTTCTGCATACATCAAGCCAAGATTTACTTGGAGCTAGTGTACTTGGTTACTGCTTTGGTTCCTTCACTGACAGCGTGCTTGGCCAACTCTCCGGGCAACAGAAGACGGACTGCAGTTTGGATTTCCCGACTGGTAATCGTTGAACGTTTGTTGTAGTGTGCCAAACGAGACGCCTCAGCAGCAATACGCTCAAAAATGTCGTTCACGAAGCTGTTCATGATGCTCATTGCTTTCGACGAGATTCCAGTGTCAGGATGGACCTGCTTTAGCACTTTGTAAATATAGATAGCATAACTTTCCTTCCTCTTGCGCTTCTTCTTCTTATCATTCTTGGTAATATTCTTCTGGGCCTTGCCAGCCTTTTTGGCTGCCTTTCCACTTGTCTTAGGCGGCATTATTATTATTGTATTATTCACTCAAGTTCACTTTTACTCACTTCCCAAATGTTTGACAGAAAAATTCAGCTTGGTTAACATTTGTAGGATTTTTCGAACAACCTTTTCATGTTTGCGTACAGCACAACTCACCCTCTTCAGCTGAAAAAGTAGGTAGGTAAAAAAGTATAAGTAGACATGATGCGAGTGTTGAGCATTCGATTCTTGTTTGTCGAGTGGAAAAGTGTAAAAAGAAAAAAATAAATATATAATGTCTGGTCGCGGTAAAGGTGGAAAAGTGAAGGGAAAGGCAAAGTCGCGCTCAAACCGCGCTGGCCTGCAGTTTCCCGTTGGTCGTATTCATCGGCTTCTTCGCAAGGGCAACTATGCCGAGCGTGTTGGTGCCGGTGCTCCAGTTTACTTGGCGGCTGTTATGGAATATTTGGCCGCTGAAGTTTTGGAGTTGGCTGGTAATGCAGCCCGCGACAACAAGAAAACCAGAATTATCCCTCGCCATCTGCAATTGGCCATCCGCAACGATGAAGAGTTGAATAAACTCCTTTCGGGCGTCACTATTGCCCAGGGCGGTGTGTTGCCTAACATCCAAGCAGTTCTGTTGCCTAAGAAGACCGAAAAGAAGGCTTAAATTACGAATTAATGCAAATCTAAACCAAAACCAAACGTCCTTTTCAGGACGACCAAATATACAAAAGAGATGCGATTTTTCATGTATTAGTCTAAATAAATATACAAATATAATTTAATATAAGAAAAAATTCAAAATAAAACAGTCATTTTTTCATTCACAGTCATTCACAGTCATTAACGTGTCGAAAAGTTGAAATACTGCTGGTCGGCAGTGCTGCCAACTTTTCCGGGCAAGAAAAATACTAAAAATTACCCTTTCAAACCTGCTAGAAACGGCTAGATCAAATTCAAGAATAGCCAGAAATATAGCCATTTCAGTTTTTATACCCTGATCCCATTGAAAATTGGAAAATGGGTTATAAAATTATATATTTTCTTGATCAGGGCGACGAGCTAAGTCGATTTAGCCCGGTCCGTCTGTTTGTCCGTATATATGAACGCGTCGATCTAAGAAGACTTGATTTTTTTTAATGGTTTGATTTTTAAAAATGTCAAATTTCCCGCCAGCAGCTAGATTAAAAATTTTCCTGCAATTGACAGTTGAAAAAGGCCAGATCTGGCCGGTAAAAGGCTAAGTTGGCAGCCCTGCTGTTCGGTCTGTATATATTCTTTGAGTGCATAAAATAATATTTTCTGCTAATACGACATCGTACTCTTTCTTGGTTGGATACAAAATATATACATCATTGTTCATCTGTTCCAATATATATTGCAGCTAGACTAGACTAGTAGCGCAAGATAAGTATAAACTTTATTAACGAGAATCGAATAGTTATTGATTTTATATTTTTCAGCTCTTTTAACGAAATATATTGGTGGTCCTGAAAAGGACCGATTGTTGTGAAAATAAGTTGCTAGTTGTACTCGTTTTTTCTTAACCGCCAAAACCGTACAGTGTACGACCTTGCCTCTTCAATGCATAGACAACATCCATGGCTGTGACTGTCTTCCTCTTGGCATGTTCGGTGTATGTGACAGCATCGCGAATAACATTTTCCAAAAAGACCTTAAGAACGCCACGGGTTTCTTCATAGATTAGTCCAGAAATTCGCTTCACGCCACCACGACGAGCTAAACGACGGATAGCTGGCTTCGTGATACCCTGGATATTATCACGCAACACTTTGCGATGACGCTTTGCACCTCCTTTACCCAAGCCTTTGCCACCTTTACCACGACCAGTCATTTTTCACTTTTTATGTATATATATATACGCACTTCACGAATGTCACAAATACAATAATCCCTATGGCCAGACCCACTGCTATTTATACCGAGATATCCGAAAACTTGAGAGAGCACATAATGCTTGCATCCCGCTCACACACTACCCTTGCAACATTTACAACAGCAGAGTAGAGTAACACGATCACTATTTGTCGATCACGAATACGTCGATCTCTTTCTAACGCACCACCAGTTTGCTATATAAGCAATGCGGAATGATTTCGACTAGAGCTGGGAAACCATCGATGGACGGCTCCATCGATGGAAAAAATAATCGATTATATCGATGGTTCCATCGAAAATGTTTTCCTTTCAAATTTTAAACTTTTTTTTTTTTTTTTGTATAAAAGTCGTACTTTTCATAATAGAAATAAATGTAAATAATGCTCTTGTAATTTCATACTTTTCCTTGTACATATTTACAGAATAATAATTTTAAAGATAACTTAAATATAAAAGAGATCTATTTTCTTTCTTATCGACAAATTAAAAAATAAAAATATAACAAATTAATAAAGTTATAGTGAATATTCAATATTTACAAAAATAAGATAATACTAAAATATTAGTCTCGTTGTTTTCAGGGAACAGCCATTCATTTTTGTTAAAAAAAATCAATTGATTGACATTTTTTTCTTTCAAAGACGCCCGGCGGTCAGAAATCAATTCACCCGCCTTGCTACAAATGCGCTCACTTTCCACAGAGCTAGCTGGAATAGCTAAGTATTTAATAGCACAACAGCTGAGTGCATTTAATTGGTGTTCGTTAATCTGAAACAAAACGGACTATTAAAACTATAAAATGAAAGCGTTTTATAAATTACCTTCCAAAATTGTAGCGGATCGATGTCATGAGGTGAATGGAGCAGTTGTTTCAACGTGGTCTCTTACCACGAAGGGATGTACACGTCTTAAGTGTTCCATCATATTGGAAGTGTTGCCGCTCGTGCGGTACTCTTTTCCGCAATGACGGCATTTGGCAAGCATGTTCATCAGTTTCTCAAAATGTGGCCAAACTTCTGATGTGACTTTTTTCGTTTCATGCTAGGCTCATTGGATTCAGTCAATGCATTTGAAGATGCAATTGTAGTGGAGGCATTGCAGGTTTTATCTAAAATGTGAAAAATACGTTCAAGCTGGAAAATAGCACTTTTTTTTAACGTAATGTACCCTCCACAGGGTATAAAATACTTACTTGAAACGACAAACCTGTCCATGTTGAAGAGGAACTACCAATGTTTAACAATGTCCGTATGCTATGCTTGTCAACTATTTATAAAATTTCCAAAAATAGATCAAGCACGCAAAAAATAAATATTATTTTATTACAAAAGAAAATTTCACTACTTACATGTGTTTGATTTGTTACTCAAAGCGACGATATATCGATATCGACAAAAGTTCATCGATATATCATACAAATTAAAGTCAATCGATATAATCGATGGTTGCATCGATGGTTTCCCAGCTCTAATTTCGACCGATCATTGTGTTTTGAATTGTGACAGTGTAAGATAGTATTGTGAAACGATGGCTCGTACAAAGCAGACCGCTCGCAAGTCAACTGGTGGCAAGGCTCCTCGTAAGCAGTTGGCTACTAAGGCAGCACGTAAAAGTGCACCAGCTACTGGCGGTGTGAAAAAACCTCATCGCTATCGCCCTGGTACAGTTGCTCTGCGTGAAATTCGTCGTTACCAGAAGAGCACAGAGTTGCTTATTCGCAAGTTGCCGTTCCAGCGTTTAGTCCGTGAAATCGCTCAAGACTTCAAGACTGACCTTCGTTTCCAGAGCTCAGCTGTGATGGCTCTACAGGAAGCTAGCGAAGCCTACTTGGTTGGCCTATTCGAAGATACAAATTTGTGCGCCATCCATGCTAAGCGTGTCACCATTATGCCCAAGGACATTCAACTGGCTAGACGTATCCGTGGCGAGCGCGCATAAATTGCATCGCTATTCTGTATTGTATTTATTACAAGCAACATTCAACAAATCGGTCCTTTTCAGGACCACAATATTTCTAACAAGGAGATTCTTATTTTCGCTTAAACTACTATTTTCAGATTTTAGTTGATCGCAAGAATATATCATAACAAGTAAGAAGGCTCCAGTCGAGACTGCTCGACTAGGAGATACCCTGAACCCTCCAAGCTGATATTCTAATCATTCTGCACTTCTTCTATGTACACATACATACACATGCACTTATAAGCACGCGCTCTGCTAACTGCGCAGTAACCAGCGGCTGCGCTGCACTGTGGGCAATATTATGACAATTTATTTGTTGAATAATTTCTTTTGTAGACATACAATCTTAATGAAACTTCAGAGCGTAATCATATGGTTAAAATGTGTGTACATTCCAAAGCACAAGTCTCTAGTACTTGAAATGCGTGTTTTACAAATTGGGGGCTAAGGGGGCGTGGTATCCAAAATCTTTAAATTACAAATCTTTGTGTCCATTAACTCTATATACAACGCAAATTTGAAGTCTCCAGGTTTAAAAGCGTTCAAACTAGGCTGAAAAAACCAAGTCGATTTTTCGATTATTCTCGATAAAAAAGTTATCGGATGAGTTATCGAAAAAATAAAGCAAATTTGTACTGCCTATGGTATACACGAGTATGCATGCCAAATTTCAGCTCTCTAGCTCTTATATCTTCTGAGATCCTTTTGCTCATACGGACGGACGGACGGACGGACGGACAGGGCTATATCGACTCAGCTCGTCGTCCTGATCAAGAATATATATACTTTATGGGGTCTGCGATGATTCCTTCTGCCTGTTACATACTTTTCACAAAACCAATTTACTCTGATTTCCCATTGAAAATGGGTTCAGGGTATAATAATCATAATAGATGTGCAAAGAATAATAAAAAGCTTGCTTGCTGAGCTAATAATTTAGTTCGCAACTGTAAATGTAGTTTTTTTTCGTAAGGTGTGTTTGATGTCAGCAAGTAAAATAAAGCATTTTTCTTCTATTATTTTTAACCATTCTACTGCCGCCTATTGTCTGTTTTCTTCTCTGCAACAAATAAATATATTGAGTAAGCTTCTAAATTTTACACTTACGATACCTTTTCACAAAGCGTCAATCCGGCAATCCAACGGACCAATCTTAAAATGCTTTGTGAATATGCACAAAACGCTTCTAAAAAGAATATTGTGCCGTAGCATAAAAAATAAATTTTTACTTTATATCCCTTATAGTACGACGTAAAGATGTCTGGCAATTATACGATATTTTCAACTTTATTTTGCATTTAAACGTCAGCTCGACTTAAGTTTTAATGAACACATTTTCCAACTGCATCCCTATTATTTATGGTCGAGCTTTTGACGTATTTCCCAGCGCAAATCAGTATGCGAGTTTTCGCCTGGAATTTGGTCACGAAAGTGTAACCATTCATTTTGATAGTAATGATACAGAGCCACTGGATCATTTCGTGGATGCTTCAGTTTGTTTTTATCCTGGTTATGACCTAAAAAAAAAAGTAATTTAAATCAAATAAAACTGGTCACATTGTGGAATAAAGCATACCCTGTATAGAATGTCGACTCGAGCTACGCGGACGTGTTTTACGCAATTTAGCGTCGTGTGCGTCCTGAATATTACACGACCCTCCGCTGTTCAAGTTGGTTTCCTTCGATGAATTTTGTTTAAGTGTCTTGCTACGACTACGACTGCGACTCACAGGCTTCGTAGATTTCGGTGGCTCTTTTGGCTCATCTATCAAAAGCTTTTCACGAAACATGGCTGCCAAACTCAAGTTGGAAATCGTAGCATTACCCCCATTGACACGGGCTTCTTTATTTTTATCGGTTATCGGCTGCTTCGATTTGTCTTTAATGACCTGAGGAGGTATATTCTCTTTTTCCTTATCGCCTAGCTTGGCGCGCGAGCTTATGGTGTTGCGTTTATGAAGGCTGCTGAAATAGTCCCCCTTGGGGTTCGCCGCCATACATTCTTCATATTTAATAAGCCTGCGCAAGTCTGGATAAGATCAAAGAAGTTGCAATTAGAACAATTGTACTTAAAAGTGATTTGAGTTTATTAAATTTGTTGTTTGTTTTTAATGAAATGCAGTCGGTTTGCTTTTATTATATATTTTAATGTACTCTTTGATTTTAAGTTTTTACAATTGCTTTTGGTTTTATATTCTTGTTATACATAATTTGAGCATCAAGTTGATATTGTTGTAGAAACAAAATAAAATGATTTGTATTTTTGTTTAAATTCTATACGCTCTACTTATGCAATTTGTCTGCATTGATCCATCATTTCTTTTCGTTATTTCATTCCTTAGTTGGGTAGTCAATCTAAGGTGCTTCAAAGAGTACTAAATTTGTTCTAAGCTAAAATTAAACTTATCTTACTTTACGTATTTATCTGATATTGTAGTTTAAATTATGCTAATTATCATTACGCACAATGTGTGAATGTTTGGGGTATCAATGACAGGGGAACTGCACCTGCGCAATTATAAAATGTTCGAGCAACGATGACAATGAATGGACCATATTATAATAATGTACAATAGCAGGATGGAGGGATAGTAGTAGGGATTTTGACAGAGAAATACAAAAAAATATCGAAACTGTAATTGCGAATGGAGGGACTGTGTAATAAGCCTTATAAACAATGTTCTTGATCTTCTTCTTCTCTGTACATCTGAATTTACAAATTTGCATTTAAGCTAATGATGATTTGTTAAATGTCAAAATGATGATAATAGTGATGATTAGCGACGATATCGAAAGCGGCGAAAGGGCGCTCGAAGTCGCCGGCATGTAACACGCACCTCCTTTTTTAGAAACTGCGATATGGCAAGCGATTTGACCGCTGCAGTAGCTGCCTCTGCGGCACAGCTGCTTGCGGCCATGCCGTTGTTAGGAGGGGCATACTTAGAGAGATCAAACTTGCGTTTGGGTGTTGTCTGCTGCAATCTCTGATGCGAACAATGCTCCAGTGAGTCACCGGCTTGAGTATTGCTCAAATCCATGTCTGTATCGAGACCATCAGATGACACCGTAAATACGTCCGAGTGGTCACCCAATTTATCGCTGGGTGAAATGCAGCTACCCAGACTTCCGTTTAATTGCGACGTGCGTCGTTGTTGTTGTTGGCGGGTTTGTTGTGTGCTCGGTGTAGATGTGGCATTTAAGCGATATCCATTGGAAGTCTGTAGCGTCACCAGCGACCTTTTCTGCGAATGATTTTCATCAGAGTTATTGGCGGGCGAGTCGGGGGTTACTCGAATACGTTTCTTTGTCGAATCCTCGTCGTAAGACGGAGAGAAGTTCTGTACGTCTAGTTTTTCATGTTGAATGTTTTCCCCACCGAAAGCGTCTTCAAAAACATCATCATCGTCGTCTTCACCATCATCTTCTTCAACATCAGCATCGGTGGCCTCGATTTCTATTTTTCCATCATGCAATTGGTCAATAGAGTCGGCCATTGTTTCGTCATCGTCATCATCGACTTGACTTTCATTGTCCACACTTGCTGCTGCTTCATCGCCTGAATAATCCCCTCTTTCTACTTGTTCGTCCACATCTGTGGCCGGAGGCGTCATATCAGTAGTCGGGCGAGCTGGCTTTGAGCCATCCGTAGTTCCTCGATTGCTGCCTGCCCCACCACCTCCATCCTCATATTTATCATCATCTTGTTCTTTGATAATTTCTTTATCGGTAGTTGTGGTCGTCGTCGTGGTTGTCGTTTGCTCCTCTTCAGTTTCCAGCTGTTCCTGCTTTAAGTCTTTAAGCTTTTGAGCTTCTTGAGACTGTCCAATACTTAATTTGCGAAAGCTGGACCGTTCACCAGGCTGCTGTTTTGTATTTGACATTGCCGTTGCTCGTCGTCTCTGTGCTCTGGGCCAACCAGTCCGATTTGATTTTAGACATTTGCGTTTACGCTGATAGCTGCAATATAAATTCATTCTACTATTTCGACGGCAGCCAGAACGCCCGACAGATATCTCTTCGTCATCTCCGCTACCAGAGCTTTCAGCTAACAAATCGCAAAGATCAAAATCACTGGTAAAACAAAAATCTGTAGGCGGCGGTGTGCGTGCATCTGAACGCATCTGAAAATCCACATCTTCATTGTAACGCTCAGCTGTTTGTAAGAGTGGCATCTGTTCCTCCGAACTAAAATCATACTCTTTGCCAGTCAGTTCCAGATATTTATCAATTTTCCAGGATACTAGGATTGGATTAGCATATTGAATGCTTGCATCCAGCGCCTTAAGTGCACTGCTATCCATCTCATATTCAAGTATTCCCTTTTTACTTGGGAGTTTACGAACACCAGCAACTAGAGATACGGACCCCGTCGGCTGCTGTTGGGGCAGACGCATAGCTGGTGTGCTTGATATCTGGCGGCGTTTACGTTTACTTAACAGCACTTTTGTGGTTGCATCTCTGCCTGAAAGCTCGAGACGTCCAGAATATTTAGCAGCATTCGCTGCTGCGGCGGCTGCAGCTGTCGGGCGGCGACATCTGGTTAGCGCGGGCGTTTGTGCCGCTACTAATGCTGGCGTTGAAGGCAAGGTATCATACTTGTTCTGTCCACGTCGCATGCGTTTTACGTTCTCACTTATTTCGGTGGCAAAACGCAGTTCCTCTACAGGCGTGGCAGCTTGTGAACGTGTGTTATGGGAATTCGAACTCAGTACAGCTGTCTCCTGCTTCAGTGGCATTTTTAGCATGGGAGCAACTACACTCGCAGGAGCGGCTGGTCCTGGTTCATCCACCTCCGAGTTGGTTTTGCTTAGTGAATCTTGCCGCTGCCGTATTATGCAACTTACCAAGGCCAGCGTGGATGCGTGCTCCCTTGGTGATTTACGTGGCGGCAACTCAGCAATTCTCGCAAGCTGCTTGTTACGACAAGTGACGTTACTATTTTGACTATTACTGCAGCTACTGCTTGAATTGCTATGTGTGGATGCAGCACGTATCCTCTCCACTACCTGGGCGCTCTCACTTAGTGAAGCAAACTCACGTTCCAGCAACTCCGGCGTGCTGGCTTTACTATCACATTTCGCTAACGGTATGGCAGTGTTTAAAGTCTGTTGTTGCTGCTCTTGCTGATAGCGTTGCAAGAGATGCATCTTTTTGTGTCTATACATAGATGTTGTTGCTGTAGATGTTGTTGCGGCTGTCTGATTACTGTCAGACTGGACAGCGATTTGTTCGGTTTCTAAATCGCGATTTCGCTCTAGCTTAATAGGTCTAAGCGACTGCACTTTAAAATCTTCTTCAGGCTCCGGCTGACCCCGGCATATCGTGCAGCTGTGAGCACTTGTGCGCTCCATGGGTATTGGACCTAGCTCGTATGGTAATTTACGGTATTTCGTAGATCCATAGTAACTGTAATAGTGTTCCTCACAGTCGTCCTGTCGTTGAAACACGCGATGCCATAAATCCGTTTCAGGTGTCTTCTCAAATGCGTAGCGCAGCTTCTTCAGTCGCTCACTCTTGCTGCAATCAAAGATCAGTTCCGTTGCCAAGGTTTTCTTCGTCGATGCTGGTGGAGTAGTTTGCTGTTTAGACTGTTTCGATTTTGCTATTGAGGGCCTTCGACCTCTACTGCCCTTTCGTGTTGGTGTCACCTTATTCTCTGGTGCCGACGGCAGTTTTTCACCAGTGGTCCGATTGATACTAATTGTCAGCCGTGATAGACGTCTCGCCGCGCGCTCTTCTCTCGTATCCAAGCGATTTGTTACAGGCATAGTTCTACGTAGTTTATTGTTTGCCACATAGTCTTCATCGCTGCCCGAGGAGCTTGATTCATCATTTGACTCTTCGTCTTCTAGATCATCCGATTCCTGGGGTGTTTCGGTCTTTTTTGATTTAATTTCATCCCCCATCCGATCCTCCATGTTGCCACCGCGCCTTACCGTGACCGTAGACTCTGTCCGTCGGCGTAACTGCAATTGACTGCTTGTTGTGGCAGCTGTTACAATGGCAGTAGCCATACGGCTGCTCTTTCGTGTAGCCGTTGCCTGTTTTTGGCTTAGCAATTGCGGTTGCAAATCTGGCTGGATGGGGGCGTTTGGAAAGCGCTGCTGGTGCTGGTGCTGCTGCTGTGGCTGATCACCAGTACCCCCATTACTACTGCTGCTACCTGTTGATAACTGGCGCTGCAGCTGGGTCAATGCAGTCTGCACCTGCGATGGTGGCGGCCTTTTCCTTCTTCTACCCACGGCCGTGGCTCGACCATGCAGCTTTATTGGCGTGGTTAAACCGGGTACCTCCACCTCGCTAGTACTGTGCGAGCTAGGCGATGAATTGCTCTGGTGACCGCGTGCATCCGACGTTGTCTGACGATCTACATCTGTAGGAAGTTCGCTACTACTGCGTATTGTCGTTCGTGGAAACATAAAATTTTCCGCTTCGCCATTAAGTCGCTGTAGTTCGGATTGACGCACTTTTTGGAACTTAACAATCAGCGATGGGGAGTCTACCGCATTGCCAGAGACATTGGTATTACCACGCCTGATTCGCGGAGACGATGCTACTGCATCGTTAGCTTCTACCACCTTGTAGAGTGATGATGGTGGGAGCATCGCTCGAATTGGCGGCGACAAAACAGAATTTTGCGTTTTACGCCGTGTTGGATTTGATGGAGTTGCAGCAGCTATTGTTGCATTGTTGACAGTTTCCTCGACACGCTGCAGCTCGAGAAGGCTACAGGTTGCTGTAGGTTTTTTAGTAGGCGATGAAGTTTGTGGGCTGGGTGATGTATTTCCCGTGGCTCTGAATTTTTCTGAAGAATGCTTGCCCTTAGTAATGCGCTTAGATTTTTCACGTAGCGCTGGAGATGGGCGTTGCCTATTATTATTGCTATTTTGTTGAGCTGGGCTTGAATCTGATTGATTGGATGACTTTCTGTTATGGGCAATGGTGCTACTGTTGAGAAGCTCATCAACTTCCATGTCGCTATTTGTATCTGCGGCAGTTTGTTCCTTCTCCTTCCTTGAATTATATTGCTTCTGCTGCTCTCTTTTAAGAAAATCGGTGACACTTGCCGATACTTGAATAAGCGTATCGAGTGCCAGAAAGTTTTGTACGTTTTTAGCAAATAAATCGTGCTCCTTGCTTCGCAAATGTGTTGTTAACGTATCGTACTCGATCTTGCAAATTTCGCATACACCGCACTGCTTATCGCTGGATTCCTTTAACTCTCTGCAATGCGACCTGGGACTGTCTGGAGTATGTACAGAAGCTGATTGCTTTTTGAGTGCTTGAACGGCGGCGTGTTGCAATGGCACCGACTGTGGATGCCGCTGATCTTGTTGATCCTGTTGACGTTGTGAGGTCCGTGAGCCAAGCGACCTACGTGTCATACTTTGCACATAAGCCTTGGTCTGCAAACGAAAGGCACTGTCCTCGCTGCATAAATCAATTTTAGGCCACTCGTCGGGTTCCTTCAATAGATGATAGTATGGTCGGTGATTGTGTTTTATTGACTCGATCTTGATATAATTGCCCTTCAGGTGGATATTAGATCTTCCTGCTGCTTGGGGTCCACTTGATGTTCCAGATCCTGTTCCTTTTAAATACTGCCGTAATTCGGTCTGTATACGCTGAAAAAAACGTAACGCATGCTCAGTCTGCCAGATGGTGTACGTAGCAAGAGTTAGCTTGCCAGAATTTTGGGAATTTCTTTGCTGGTGCTGTTGTTGCTGTCGTTGAATGGAATGGGCCTCAGTTGCAATTGGTGTTATTTGTTGTACTCCGCGCACACGACTCAGAATAGCATCGGCGCGCGTTTGCCGAGTCCTGCGCTGTAGGCCATTGCTGTCTTCATGAATATTTGCTGTGGGTGTATTGGGCGTATGAGGGCTATTAGATGCAGGCTGTGTTAAAGGAGTAACCGGCTGGCTACGTGTGCTCCTACGAGCTTCAGATATTCCAAGAGACGAGCCGTTTTCCTTATCGGTAATGAAATGTGTAATACTGTCGTTGAGGAAGAATTCAAGTGTGCCTCCAAGCGCCTTGATATCTGCCTCAATGCGCTTGGCTAGTTGATGATCGCAAATATCCAAGTAAAACTTAAAGTGGCAAAGTGGCCGCTTGCTCTTAATGACCTTTACTTTGGAACGGTGATGAGGCTGCTGCTGAAGCTCTGGCTGGGGCTGCTGCTGCTGTTGTTGTTGTTGTTGTTGAGGACTTGCTCTTGCTGTTGCGAGTTTGCTTTTGGTAGCACTTTGCTTATCCGACTGTGGTTGCATACCTTTAGGCGCAAATATGCTGTATTTGTTGTTGTGATGCGAAGGACCAAGAATTAGATACAAATAAATTGAAATGAATTAGTTAATTTTAAATGCTCTATATAGGAGCAGCAGCCACCAACCAACTGACACAGCACTATCCAACAGCATCTTTAAAATAATATATATATATATATATGTGTATATTATATATTTACATTGAAATAATTGTGTGTTGTAATAATTAAATAAATAATTTCGTATAGTAATACAAAATAAGTTTAAAAATAAATAAAATCAGCCTGTTTATAATTTGTGTTGGAAGTAATGGTAGATTTGGAAAAGTCTTCGAACCAGCGACGTATTCTAACTAAGTTGGATTAAAGTCTGAGGTTCAATGTTGCGGCGGAACTTCAGAATGGGTGCAGTGGAGCAAGTGTTACAAATATATGCGAAATTATACACAAATAAAAACTATATGTTATTGAGTATCGTTGAAATAACTTTTCCAAAACACCTGCAAGGAGAGTTGCGACAATGATCATATAACATATAGAAATGTAACTATACAGGAGGACTTTAGTAATTTAATATAATTTGCCTAGTAATAATAAATTAAAAAATAAAGCCCACCAACATTAAAAATATAACCATCAAACGCAGGATTTCGTGCGTTTAATATCGATGTCATCGAAACGAAAATCTTATCGATGTTTTGTTTTAAGCGTGCCGCAGCTCATATATTAATTATATTGTAGTTCTCAAAATACGTTAATACGGACAGACGAACGAATATGATTTAAGTAATGAACTAGTCTACGCATGTATATAAATGCCCGATTAATTTATTGGCTATGACATCCAGTATCGATGTAAAACAGAAAAAAAAAAAAAAAAGAAAATTAGAAAACAAGCAAGTTCAGCAGAGCATTTCAATGACCAGTTCAAATGAATTCATTTGAACCAAATAAGACAACTTTTATTTCCATTTGCTATTCAGTTTTTCGGTTGTCGATGTAGAGTATAGGGGGCTCGATTTATTTTTTATTTGGTGTACTCATTTGTGATTTTTTTTCATTTCGTGTACTAATGAACACATACACATGCATGCATATGCCGCACAATTTTGAAACGTGCGCAGGGTTGAATGCGAACCGATTCACGAACGGAATACGACCGCATGGAGAGTTTTAGTAGCCTGTATATATGTATTCTAGCAGCTGTTTAAAATGAAACAGTTGTATATACAAATATTCAATGTAATTGATAAATTAAAAAAAAAAAAAAAAAAAAAAGGAATGCAATCGATAGTGGTTTTGTCTGTTTTTAATCAAACAACTAAAAATTGTGCATTTGATTATCGAAACAAAAATATAAGGCCAATTTTTAACTTAGCAAAGAGAACGAACACAACAAACAATAGGAAACATGGTTTTTTTTTTCATAAACAAACAAAAAGTAACATGCATGTGTGTGTGTGTCTGTATGTACAGTTGCAATGCTTGTCCACAGGCGCATGCACATATTGATGTAAAGTAAATAAAGGTGCTAAGCAAATGTTAATAGCCACTTTAAAACGCCTGCATGTATGTATGTATAAAAAATACATAGTATATACATACAATACACACATACATACATGTATGTATCTATGTAGGTGTATGCACGCTTTACATGTTTTGTATGCCGTAAAGAAACTTCGGCACTCGTTTAAAATACGCACACAAACTAAGCACGCACAGACATGCAGCTACAGCTACAGCTACAACGACAGCGCCAGCATTGCGGCAAGCGGTGAGCCCAACAACTTTTGGTTTTGCTGTCGCCACAGTCGAAACATGCCTTGCTCTAAACGTATACAATAGAATATACATATGTACATACATACATGCATACATTTTTATGTACACAAACACAGCCGTGTATTTATGCGTGTGAATGTGTATGCTTAAAAGCGTTTTAGGTAGACAGGGCGCTTTAGCAAAAATTGTTTTCGTTATTTGTGTTATTTACAAATTACGAGTAATACTCGCTCATTTTTCGTGATACACAGCTACGAACTTTTGTCATCGTCATTTGTTTCTCTTATATTTTAACGAGAAAATACGAAAAAAAAAAAAATGGTGACGAGTCGTTTATAAAAATTAACGAAAACAGAACAAAACATGCTACAATTCAAATAACATTTTGAAGTGTTCATTGCATTCACTCACACACAGACACCAACCAACAACACACAATATATACCTATATATATAAATGTAACTATATACATATACACAAACACTATATGCAATGGCGGGAACTGTGCTGTCTTATTTGTTTCTGAGAATGGGCTTACCTTTTAAAAATTCACGTAGTTGTTCGGCAGATATATTTCTATAGCCCAATTCATTTAGGTGCTGAAGTATAGCCCTCGCATCCAATGGCAAATGTGACATTTTTCCAGCATTTACTGATCTAAATTTGTAAAAAAATGTTACTGTTTATATTCATAAACTAAACACATGCACACACAAAATATATATGTATATATACATACACACACACAAGCTCATGTACTCACAAGCATACGTCCACCACTACTGCCAACCAAATAGCGTTTCTCTTTCCTTTTGTTGTTGCTTCGTTTCTTTGCTGTTCACTTTGTGTTTGTGCTTCTTTTTGAGCCCGCTTTGTGCTGCCGTTTACTGCCGACAATCGAATTGACAAGCAAGAAAATGTTCACTGTACCTTTTTTTGTCGCATACTTTGCATTGTATTTATTTCTCCGATTACGTTAAAATTCTAGAAAAATGGCTTGTTTGTGGCGAATTGAAGAGCTTGCTGTTGCTTATGCGAATTACACGGCTATACAGCTATAAATTAGCGTCGTCGTCGCGTCACTTTTTTTTTTGCTTTTTTATTTCAGACAAAAATGGTCTCGTCCATTTTCAAATCAAAATTGTCCGTTCCTCTTCTTCCCGAAGAAGGAAGATAGATTTTGATTTTTTATTGTTAATTTGTCCAATGATTTTATAACAATTTCTAAAAATTAAGTGCACACACAAACTCAACTAGCACAATAACTCTTGGTTCAATGAGACTGTCGATAACGATTTGTATCGCTGACGATGGCACAAGTATCGCTGGTTGCAACTCGCAAATAAAAAAGTATCGATACTAACGAATACTACAAAAATATACCAGTTTTCCTTGTTTACGGTTGCTTTATCGCTGTTGTGTCTGCATCTGCATCTGCGTCTGCGTCCATTCTTAATTTACTAATATTGCTCAAAATAAATTTGTTGAATATGTTCCATCAAAGAAACGTGTATTTCCTGTGTTTGCTTGTTATAGGTTTGTTTGTCTGTTCTAAAAAGAAATATACAAAATAAAAATATTTCACCTGCATATTTTTTGTAAATATTTTAATTTATCTTTCGCATCCTACAGCCTCCAGTTGTCTTATTTCCAACGTGGACAGCTATCGTCGTGGATTAAAGCGCGGAACAACAACACCAACGCCAACGACAAGTAGTCCAGCTCCATTAACGGCTAAGGAATACTTGGATAGCAAGTCAAGTTTTTCAACGTTCGGCATCATTGCCATTATATTTTCGATCATTGTAGTATCTTTAGTGTTTTACTATGGCATCATGTGTTATCCGTTCTTGTGTCGCGATGATAAAAAGTATCGATTTATGGACGTATCATCCACAATTACGGCAGCCACATCCCGTTCAATACAATCGATAGAGAATTATCCGGTTGACCAGAAGCATCATCATCAACTTGCCTAAGCTATTGGCTTATATATGATATATATACAGGTATATCAGGTAGTGCTCATAAATGTTTGCACTTTCTAAAACTCGGAAATTATGCTCAAGATATCTTTTTTACCAACTAAAGAGATTGTGACAGAGACTTATTTTTGGATATTCTTTACAAATAGCCATAAGAAAAAAGTAGATCTTCTATACAGATTGTACTTAAAATGCCCTACATACAAATATGTGTACTTAATCCGTTCTTTAATTATACATCTTTAGAATAGTGCCAACTCTTTAAAGATTTTATACATAACCATCTCCATTTTCATCATTAGTCATATATTTTTTGACTTATATACATATTTTACTTGATATATTCTAGTTCAATAAAAATTTCTTCCAACACGAACGCTTTTTAATTATGGAAAGTTTATTCTTTTGCTTGGCGTACTTTTTTTTTGTTTCCTTTTGTTTGTTGTTTTTTTTACAAATAGTAGAAAATGCTAATATTTAGTTAAGCAGTCGAACTTAGTATTAGTAAAGATTAGTTCAACTAAAAATTGAGGAAAAGTTGAGCTTTTTCTTTCTGGTTTTTGGTGTTAAGTTATTACAGTTCATCCTTGACCTCATCATCCAAGTTAATATCGCTTAGATCGATGTCTTCTTCTGTGGGCAGCTCCCCGTTTTTGCCATCCCAAGGATCGACGCTAACGATCTTTGGTTTCTTTGCGCCGCGCACCGGGGACGTTTGGCCACGTCCGTAGGATATGTCGCGTAGGAATTCATTGATGCCGTCTTTGGAGAAGGAGCCCTTGAGTACCGAAAACTTCATCTTCTTAAAGTTCACAACTGCCATGGCCGGATAGCCAAAGCCGCCCACTTCCAAGGCCTCTTCCAGTGCCAACTGTTGGCCACCCTCAGCCCAGGCCCAGCCCCATAGCTTCTGCTTGAACTTCTCGCCCAATGTACGCAAGGTGTCCAGGAATTTGTTGCGGCAGTTGGCATCGCAGTCCAGAATATGAGGCAGCACAGAGACAACGCATAAGGGCTTGCCCTCGCATGCAGTGTTAAACGTGGTCTCGTCCGTAATCTCAATCAGTTCTGGCGGAGGTACATTTTCAGTGTGCTTGTCATTGGCCCAACTAATTATGTCGGAGGCAGTACGTCCGCCATTGTACTCCTCAGCGTCACTGGCGCGCTTCGAGCCGGCTGGGAAAAACTTGATTGTCGGATAGCCACGCACATTGTACTCAGCTGCCTTGCTCTGATGCGCCGTGGCATCCAGAGCGCCAAGCTTCACTTTGCCCTTCAGCTCCTTCGCTGCCTTGGCCCACTCTGGAGCCAGATTCTTGCAATGACCGCACCAGGGCGCAAAGAATTCCACCAGCCAAATATCGTCAGAGTTTAGAACTAGTTTGTCAAAGTTATCTTCAGTTAGCTCGATGACGTCATCGCCGGAGCTCGATGAACCACTCTTGCTTCCGCCACCGCCCCCGAATGCTGCTTGAACCTTCTTCTTGGCCTCAGCGAGAGCTGCTTCGGCAATCGCGTTAGCTGTGCGCTGGCCATTGTAATCGATCGGCGTCTGTTTGTTGGCGCCAAAGATTTTGATTGTGGGAAAGCCACGTACGTTGTATTTGCCGCCCAATTCGGAATGCTCATCGGCGTTAACAGAGCCAACTTTAATCACGCCCTTGACTGCACCAGCCAATTTCTTGTATTCCGGCACCAGACTCTGGCAGTGTCCGCACCAAGGCGCATAGAATTCAACAACCCAGATGGCATCGCTTTGCAGCACCTCGCGATTGAAGTTGGATGGCGTTAGCTCCACGACGTTATCGGAGGGTGAATAAAATGCATTCGCTTCGCATAAAAATAGCAAAAATATGCTAACAACTAAAGGGGGCGTACGAAATCATATACAACAAAATTAATACACGTAAGTAAGAGTATGCGCTCAAAGTTGCTTTAGTTCTGAATTAGATACTTACATGCATGTATTAACTGCATTATTGGAGTGGTTCTTGTTGTACTATATCTAGTTGACTTTACTTCAATATTAATTTCTTAGAACTATGGAATAGACTCGCTAGCTGTAATCGCCGACTTACACGTCACTTGCTTACGGCTTTTTAAGTATGTTCTAAGCAACACTAATAATTTGTGGCCACCCAGAAAAGTTAACATTTTCCAATACCAAAAGTGCCAATTGAGCTAAGCATCGATAAGTTCGAGTAAATTTTACAATTTAAAATGAAAAAATAACATAGTTGATATCGGTATATAAATTTGGTTTTCGGAACTCTTCTCTAATTTATGTTTATGTTTATATATTTAGTTTAGTTCAAATTGTATAGGTACATATTATATATTCTTAGTCTTCTTTTTAATAATCATGAAGGAACATTTAAGTTCAACAGTTTTAAATTAAATATAAAAGAAGTGTCATGTTAACGCACTGTTATTGATTTGGCAGCGCCATTTCTCGTTTCCCAAAAATTAACTAGCTGCTATGGAACGCAAAGCGGCCCGTTTGTTTGGCTTGTTTAAGATATGCACTCAATTACAGTTATATCTTCTGGTCATTTCAGTTAGAAGTCTCCAAGCTGATAATCAGCTGGATGCTATGAAACTCATGTGTGTAGTGCTTTGTGCCAATAAGTTAGTGGCACTAACCAGCGTTATAACAGTTTTTGCGGTTGTTATACTGTGCACATGTGCACATGATGTAGCACAATTATTTGTTGCTGGGCGACAATTTACTGACTTCTATGAAATTTAACTCCTCGAGTTGCTTCAAGCTAAACACATACATGTACGAGTTATTATATACATATGAATATGTATGTATATGTGCTTTTTTATATATAATTTTTTGTTGGTATTTCAGTTAGTTAATTTCATGTGTCCTGTTACATGTCTCATATATTTTACTCGCAGATTGTTTTATGCGCCTGTCTCACCAATTACTGGCCCACCCATCTAACCAACCCTCTGCCCGCCCATAGGCACAGCATCTACTGTCTGGGCTCGGTCTGCGTGTGTGTGCGTATAAGATAAAATATGTGGTCAATTTCACTTAATAGCGACTTAGTAGTAGTGTTGCCAAGATTTATGTGACGTTAATATTGCGTGCATAGAAAGCTAGCGGACAACTTTGTGGTTATTGACTGTGTCTGTGATTGTGCGACTGTGATTGTGACAGTGACTGTGACTGTGATTGCATGTGACTACGGTTGCGACTGTGACTGTGACTGTGACTGTGACTGGGAGAATGAGGCTGTGACTTTGGTTGTGATTGTGACTAACACTGCGACTGTAAGTTTGGCTGTGACTGAGACCTTGATTTTACCTTTTGATTACTTTGATTGTAAATGTAACTGTGACAGTGACTGTGATTTTCTTCGTGACTGTGACAGTGACTGAGTGGATGAGATTACACAGTAAGTCCATCCGATTGAAGTAAAGGGTTAATTGATGACAGTTATTGGGACTTTGTTTTTTATGATTATTGAATTTTAATGCACATCAAATGCTCTCGCATATAAAGATTTAATGCCAAAACGTCATAAATTGCAAAACAAAGAGAGCGATTCGAAACTCCCATAGTCTGAAATGTATATAATATATGCTACATTTGCGCTTCACTTTCCTTTGACTTGACTCTTAAGACCCAAAATATTTGTGGGTATATTTATACGAATACGAACCCCACTCGACCTTATCAACATACTTTGGGCGAAGCGTATGCCCAGCGGAGCAATTTTTTTATTGATACTCATCGTTAGGGGGTGAAATTGAATAAGCGTGGAGTGCACTGTAACCCCTTACTGGAAAGACGCGTGAAACACCTTTCTATTGGATATGTGGATATGCGGAAATGTGGATATGCGACTGTCACAAGGCGTGTTCTCCTTTTATCGTCGAATGCCATTTTGCGATGTGTCATATTTACTTTGCGGATTTGCCCATTATTCACTTGACGACGCTCCGTTTGAGTGTTTTTGCGGCTTAGTTTAAAGTTGATTTTTTGACACGCTTCTTATTTTTATTTCCACTTTTTTTTCCTCTCTCTCCCCTCGTTTTTTGTTGTTTGTTGCGATTCCTTGCCATGCTGTTGCTTGCAAATTTTTTACGTTATCTATTTTTCTATATCATTGAACTGCTGTTTATGGGATTTGCTGGGTGTTCTCGGCTTCTGGTCGGATTCGATTACCATGGTCCGGGCTCTGCCAGACGAGGGGTTGGCTGGTTGATTTGCTATTGACTTCATATCATCAGCGTCCTAATGCGACTTACTTCTGCAAATGTGCAAAATATGAGGATAAAAAAACATATGTATGCGCTGCAGAAGACCAAAATTCTTAGAGATAGGTATAGGCAGTGAATAAAGCGGATTAATGATTAAATTGAATTGATGGATCAATCAGGTGAATCCGAATGTGCATGCCATACAGATCTATCGTGTCAAAATATATTCCATCTTGGCTCTGCATTGCATAATAGACTATCTCGATTTAGAGCGAGTTCTATTGGCTGATGGTAGTTCGAGCTTCAGATTCAAATACTCTCCAACAATATTGTGAATCAAACTTATCATATTCTATAGACTCAACAGAGAGCTGAACGAGTCCATAGAGTGGGTCAAATAGTGAAGGGGAATCCAAATCTTTCCAATTACTCGGCAAAGTTCTTGGGTTTGTTTATGTAACTGTGCGAAGGTGGAGATATAACAGAGGAGCACTTCCAACTTGAGTTTCGGACGCATTTACCATTCCTTTTGTAAGCAAATATCAGACAGTGTCGAAAACTAAAACGTGTTTGAACATAATTTCTAGTTGAAGGTAAAGAATAAGTGAAACTATTAGCCCGCCTACAGTGCCGCAATTTTGCTGGGTAGCAAAACTTGGCAGTAATTTTCTTACAAAATTAACTGCAAGTAAAGTGAATTTTAGGCAAAATATGTTAAATAAACGATCCTCAAACACCATATAATCATCCGAAGCCAAGGGCGATAACAATGCCAGCAAATAACCGAAAAAGGGCAAAATGACATCAACTTGCCTTCAAGGATTTTAATTGCCTTGAAAGATGCGGTATATGCCACACACACACACACATACATACATACAGACATATATAAGTTTGGGGGTCCTGCTACGTATGTGGGCACGAGATGCCTTGGCAAAAGATAACAAGATTGTAAACTATGAGAGGACAATGGAGGGTGTTAAAAGGGTTTGGGGGCTCATCGCTCTCTGTCCACTCGAAACTCTTGCTTATCCTTAAGCCTACATTGTCTACTTTACTTGTACGTGTTGCCTTTTTAATGTCATTTCAGCTACTTTGCAACAAAGAAGCCCGGCCCGAGCACAACTTTTGGCCATGGAACATTTCGAAAAACGCCAAATCATTACAATTTAAATTGGCTAAATTTCATTACTACATCGTTAAGAAAGGAAATTAATTGTTTATATACAAACTGTAGATGAGCTTTGTCTCGTGATTGCGATGACACGACATCGACTACGATTTCGATTTCGACCTCGATTTTGAGCTGAGCTAGTAAGTCGTACTTGGTTGTTTATCCATAGATTAACTGATCGCATTTATAATGAGAATCATTTATATTTATTTAAAAGATTTAAATCAGTTTTATACATTTGTAGACAATACATTTGATATACTATTTGCATATCTTAAATTTCGTGTCCGGCTCTCTCGCATCTCTAGCATGATTGTATATAATACAAATTATTCTTGGTAGTCAAAAAGTTCTGCAAGCTATATGTATCACTGGTTTTTGATACCGTAGGCCCACGGACATTGGGTATCTTGTTTTTGTTCAAATGAAACAGCTAAAGAAGCATAGCTCAGTCCTGAGATTAGATTATTATGTTTGCTTCAAAGGACAAGGAACTTGGGGTATTTTCTCTTCGAGCTTTTCTGTCTTGCATACTCGGATGCGTTTTCTGCTGACTATAACACGAATATAGTAAGATATTTTCAATTAAAGTTTGCCGGGACTTGGCAAGCGAAAAGACGTTTTCCTCTTTCTTTGAGAATACCCAAGTTGAGAGAAGAAGTTTTATTTCAAAAATATTTTTATTGTGGCCTTACCATTGCTGTAGTTTTATCGTTATTAATCATTAAATTTGACTGCGGTCAAGATTTATTTAAAACATTTAATTACTATTCATAATTTTTTTTTTTTATATTAAATATAACATTTGATTGCTCTACATTTCTCTCTGCGGCATTTACAGACTGATCGAAACCCTGTTATTTTTTCCATCAATGCCTTCTTTTTCTCACACGCAGTAATAATTTGCAGCAAACAAAAAAGAAAACTTAATTATTTTACAAAAATATTTTGTTACGTTTGAGAACATTTTTCCAATTTTCACCTTCCCTATTTACCATTCCAGCTTTTTTCCACTTTTTCATTTTGGTGCTTCGTCGATATTAAATAAAAATAATAAAGTGTACTTGTCGTTGTGTAGTCGATTATGGAATACCCTTAGTTTTTTTTTTTTTTTATATACCAATGAGTTTTCAAATATAAAACTATGTATGCATTAAACTGAGAATGGGTTCGCATAGTCCTTATTCAAATTCATATTCCACATAAATTCCATTTTTTTTCTATTGATACTTGACTTAAATCTTATTCAAAGTAGCTCGCGAAGGTGAATACTGGGAATAGGGTATCTACAAGTCAAGCACTTTAACATGGAAGAAATTTACTTTATATTTTTTGCTTGCGAATACCTGTATAGCTGAATACACGGCAAGCACTTTTTATACCCTGCAGTCGTTGATAATGAGTGATAAGGGTATGTAGGGCTCGTGAAAAAGTATGGAAGGCGCTTAATAAGGAAGCTTTCTGATACAATATATACAATAGATATTAACCGTCCACGTATCAAAGTTTGAATTTTGTAGGCTTTATGTCATAGTCGCAACAAAGCGCAGATTAGGGTATTTGATAGTCGATCACTCTCGCGTAGCTATTATTTTTACGTCCTTTTGTTTTCATGTGGCGCGCAGTCGACAATTTTTTTTCTTTAAATATTTTCAGGGCAAAATCAGCTTAGGGGCTCATTATCCTTCAACGTTCATTCATGTAATTTTTAATTAATTTTCAGCGCCACAAAATCGAAACAAAGAGAAAACAAATTAATATACAAAGTATTGTGAAAGTATATATATGTATGTATATGTATATGTATGTATGGCTGTGGCTATGGACTGCCAGCAACATTCACACGCTTTCGGCTATTTGGCGGCAAGGTATCCCTTTTACTTCTTTTTGTTTCTCTTACCTTTTATATCCTGAACACCCATTGAAGGGGTATAACGATTACGTGTTGCTACAAGAAGCGGAAGTAAAAGCCGAAGAAAAAAAATAGAGTACATAAATTTTGTTAGCTACAATATTTAGTAATACCCGCCTGTCTACAGCATCTGCTAGTCGTTCATTTGGTTTTATAGAATTTGTAATTGATTTTTAATAAACAGCTAAAGAAAAATGAATTGCTTTTACAAAACATTGAAGATGCAAGACTTTTTCAGATCGTAATAATATAATAAAATACATTTTAATTTGTTTTTTTTTTTTTTTTTTTTTTTTTTTTTATATTCAATATATATTCAATAAGTCAACGAAGAAGTTGTTATATCAGATATACCAGAAATAAATGCAATTGTTGATTTCGCTGAAGCTCTAAAGGGTGAGTTCCAACTTTTACCTTCCTGCTATTGGAGTCTCAAACGCGTTGCTCTCCTACGCTTAATTAAATATTCATCAGGCAGACAATGGAAAAGTTTTAAATACTCATCAAGTTGTGGCTGCGTCTCCCAAGACACACCCACACCGTACGTTTCCTTCTTGATTTCGAGATTTCGTTTGTTACCCTTATGGCAAGTTCGCACTAATCAATATCAACAAATCAGCATTTACTTTGTATTTGAAATCCATGACTACCCTTAGTCTTCTTCTTCTTCTTCAGCTCGTCTCACTTTCTCTGCAGTCATAAGTGGAATTCCCCCATGGAACATTAAAATCTCGTTTATTCACATCAAACTATAAACCTTATACGAGAACCCAACCCTTTTCCAAATACATTTCTTGCTTTGTTTACAGACTTACGGGCGTGTAACAACAACATAGAGCGCATAGAGTGAGCATACTGTGCCTTGCTCTAAAGTTTTAGGCAAACATTCATACAGCAAAATCATTTGAGCCCTACACCAGATACGTATCCCTCGCGGAGAGTGACCCCAAAAATAATTGACTTGGACGGGTATGGGGAGGTACGGTGTAGTTATTATATTTTGATTGATTTAGTCGAGACGTAAGTTCAATTTAGTGAAATGTACTAAATATATTAATCAGAAACTAGAGAAATTTGACTAACTATGGATCTGATCAATACATTCTAATTTGTTTGGCTAGTCAAACGTTTGTTGCAAAATAAATGCAAGCTGTATCCCTTTTGAAGACTCTTGATAGATATCGACAGCTTTCGAAATTGAATTACACGGTTTCTAAAAAGTAATAAAGTCAAACATATCTCAGGATAAGCAACCCTCCAATCAACAGCTAGAGCGAAATTCCAGTTTCGTATCCTAAACACAACAGCCATCAAACCCCTTTTGCATGTGAACCCATTTGGGCCAGGATTGCCGTAAATACAATTAACTAGCTGTGACACCCACACATTAAGAAGCGCAAGGTATGCCATAATTGGGAAAACAAAGCCTGTTTGATGTCGCAGTGCAAGACCAAAAAATGCCAGAGAACAGAGAATTCGCTCAACTCTTGTACAGGAAATATACATCAAACGCAGTCCTTGTCATCATATGTGACATATTTGAAGTCAGATAAGCGTATCCCAGAGTATATGTGCGTAGCTCGACAGTAATTATAGTAATGCATTTACGGCCATATGGAATGTTTTTAATGAATTTATATTTTCAGCGCCAGAAGTGGGGTGAAAAGACGAACTGAAATCATGTTATTCTTTATTAAATATTCATGTTTGCTGTACATCCTAAAATAGAACGAGTCACAGTGCCTACCTTAACGTAGGTGCTTCAACTCTATTGATTCTTTCTATTCCAACTAAGAATAGTCATAGAACACATAGCATACAATGGAGAACACTAATAATTAGCTCTTCAAATGCACTTCCATAATTCTAATTTTGTCCCCAGCAGGAATGCTATGTAGGGTAGATGTGTTTTCTTAATTGGAATTAATAATTCAGCTATTTGATCAGTCTTATTGTAAAAAAACTAGTTTTGGGAGTAAATCTGTAAAACTGTAAATGACATATACCTTTTAATATGGGGGATATATATTCGGATTATTTATAAGTTAAAATCATTTACAGTAAAAAAAAGTTTAGCTTTTCGATATTAATAAAATGGAATTAAGGGTCGACTATTTCCAAATATTAAATATTAAAGTAAACAAATTGTAAAGCTCCAAAAAATATAAAAACTTGAGAAATTTATATAATTAATTTTTGTGAGTAGATAATAAAAATAAATATATTTTATTCGATAGTAAAATCCTGCAATGTAAAAAATTTTTTTTATTTTTTTTTTAATTGAAACTAATGCTTTATATTCATATATATTGTGATTGAAAATAATGAAATCGAAAGAAATAATAATCATATGTCATTTTTTAAAGGGTATTTCACAGACGGTGTGTGAAGAATTCATAATTATTATTCTTATTATTTTTTTTTAGAAAACCGTGGGAGGCTTATGTATGTTATACCAGCTATAGGTACTTGATATACTTCCATCTCATTTGTGTCTATTTGATGAAGGTCAATGGACTGATATATCTTTATATTGAAAGCCTGCTCTCTCTCGAGCATATATCATATTATCTAATATACCACCTATACACAAATTTTGTATATTTTTCTATTCACTCTAATTATTCATTTGTTCAGTAAAAGTATTGAAAATATATTTACATTTCAATGGGCTGTTACGTGGCCTAAGTGAGGAAGTGTTGCTTATCCAGCATGACCTAGAACTTGAGCTACTTTGTCCAAGTCGTAGCGAGGTCACTAATGCTATTGAGCGTTGTCTAGAATTATGCACAAAGTATGCAAAAATGTCTACCAAGTGTATGTGAGTTGACATTATATACCCTGTAGGAATTGAAAGTAGTAATAACGGAGATATATTTTTTATAAACCTTGTACGACATGGACTAAATGTTAGCCTTTAAAGAGGTTTTTTTTAAACTCAATAATAAACCTATTACACATTTTTTTGTATTAAAAAAAAAAAATCATTGAAGTTGTGAATATTTTAATAAGCATATATCATATTATGTCCACACACAGATACATTTTTCTGAAATTTTGAGCTATTTTAAAACGAGGAATATTATGGGCAGGCAATACTCGAAGCTTCAAAAATAAAATGCGACTGAGGGCCAATGTCAGCAAAGCTGGCGACACTGTCTATTCTCTCTATACTCTCTGCTCGCTCTAAGCATCTGAAAAATGCTATATAAGCACTGGATCCATGCTTCCGATATTAGTGAGCACAATGAACCTGGCGTCTCTCTATCAGCGCGCCAACGAGGTGCAGCGTCACGATGCCAAGCTCATTTTGAGCGAGTACGCTTCGATACTTCAGTGGCGCTCCGATGGACAGGACAGTCTCTTGGATGTCGGTTCGGGTCCGGGAAATGTGCTCATGGACTTCGTGCATCCCTTGCTGCCGAAGAGCTTCGAACAACTGGTGGGCACCGATGTCTCAATGCAAATGGTACGCTATGCCAACAAGTGTTACGAGCGCTATGCCCGAACGCAGTTCCAAGTGCTCGATATTGGCTGCGAAGAGTTGCCAGAGCAGCTCAAGGGTCGATTCGATCACGTGACATCATTTTACTGTCTGCATTGGGTGCAAAATCTTCGAGCTGCTCTGCGGAACATCTACAATCTGTTGCGTGGCGAAGGTGGCGATACTCTGCTGGTGTTTCTGGCCACAAATCCCATCTATGAGGTATACAAGGTGCTGCAGAGCGATGCCAAGTGGGCGTCTTATATGCAAGATGTGGATCAGTTCATTTCGCCCTTGCATTATAGCACAGATCCTGTCAAGCAGTTCGAAGAGCTCCTCAACGAGGCTGGCTTTGTATATAAGAATGTGGAATTGCGCAGCGAAGTCTTTGTATACGAAGGCGTCCAGACATTGAAAGGTGATATTCACAGCTTAAAGTTTCGTTCGTTTCTAATCATTTACAAACTCTATCTTTTATTAGACAATGTTAAGGCGATTTGCCCTTTTCTGGAGCGGATTCCAATGGCTCAGCACGAAGAGTTCCTAAATGATTTCGTTGACATCGTTATTTCCATGAACCTCAAACAGGATACGAAAGCCAATGCTGAGCATTCGCAAGAGCGCTTCATATCGCCGTATAAATTAATTGTTGCTTATGCTCGCAAGTCTCCCGATTATCTACAAAATGTTTTTAGCGATTTGGGCAATGTGAAAAATGTAAAGGGCGTTATGTGAAAGTCATCTGGGATCTAATGTTTGTATATGCAGCAACAATGAAATCCCAACACATCTATTGGGAATTAGCAAATACTAAAATTCTAGTAAATATAGTAGTGATTAAATGTTTATTTAAAAATAAATTGTGCTAGCTTTTATTTAATATATTTATAGACGCATTGCTATTTTTCAGTTCATATTTTATATTCAGTCATTGCAGTCAAATAGTTGCTCAAATTCCAGATTGACTGTCGAATCTCTGCTCGTGACAGTATAATTATTGAGTAGCATTCGCTCACACTCCGCTGGTACGAGAACTTGTGCTGCCAGCGTGACTTCCACGTGACAATCTCAATTCCCAATAAAGCTGCAACAGAAACAGCTCGGGGTCGAGCTCGAGTTCCTGTTCCAGTTCGAGTGCGAGTTCGAGAGTCTCATGTCAGCTGGAGCTGTAAAAAAGGGTTGAAACTCTGTTACGCGTTTTGGATATCATACTATATAGGATATAGGAGTTATAATTATGCGCTACCTGAAACTCAACCCGGGCAAAAAATTTTAATTGTTTTTTGGGCAAAAATGTACGTATGCAACGTTGTCGGCGGAATTTTCAAATGAGTTATTAACGCGAGGACTACGACGACGACGGCGATGGCGACGGCAATGGCGACGGCGACGTTGATCCAACAAATGCGCATCATGTCATTTATCATGGGTAAGGAAAGGCGTGAGGCAACAACAGCAGCAGCAGCAGCAGCAGCAGCATAATATTTACAGTTTAGAGTTAGACAGCTCCAAGGCATGGCAGCTGCCTGCCCGCCCGCCTGCCTGCCAATTTCGGTGGTGGGTGGGTCAGAGAAGGAGTAGTAAATGTTTGTCTTAATCTTTGATTTCTCTTGCTGTTCTGTTCTGGCAAATGTAAACGACAGGAATTAATTTAGACAAATGATTTCTCAAGTGGAAAGCTTCAGCTTCAACTTCAGCTACAGCTACAGTTTTAGACGATTTGCCGGCTGTCAGTGGTGCCCCATCGCTATTTTTCTGGTCTGGGCGAAGCGTTTGGGCGTGGCATGCGATTTGTGATACCCTCGATACATACAGCTTCCGGAACCCCACTCAAAATTGTTTTCGCAAACACAAATTTTCGTATTGAAATTTGATTTATTTGTTAATTTGTTTGTAATGAATTTTCCGTTTGCTTCGCTGCGTGCACTGGATCAGAGCCTGAGGGAGATGGGCGCGAGCGTGGTTGGGTTCCGTTTAATTGCCCGACAGTTGTGGAGAATGTGCCTGGCATTCTGGTTTCTCTTGCATCATTTGTTTAGCTAATTTCTTGAACTGAACTTGAAGACGAATCGACTGAAATATTTGCGCCTTGGATTACAAAAAAATGTAATTTAAAAATTGAACTCTCCTCTAGAAATAATGTTAGTTCATTGAATAATGAAGAATTTTCGATTGATAACATTTTTTAAATTCCAATTAATTAGAATGCTAGACCAATCGGATTCTTCACTCCATAGGTAGGGGATATGGCAAATGTCAACGATTTCTTATATGGTAAACTAATTGGATATGGGTACAGTAAATATAAGAAAGTTGCTCAAGACAAAACGATATTTTGGAATTTTACAAAAGTTTTCCAAATCAACTTATATTTTAGCCAGCCAATTAATACATATCCAAAAGGCAATCTCTGTAAGCTCTAATACGATTTTATATCGAAGCTTGCCTTTGACCTGGGAATTATATACAATATATATATCTTCATATTTTCCTTGTTGCCTATCGCTTATGCTCACTTAACATCTTTCAACCAGTGAAGACTCTATCATGGAGGGTTAATTCAAACATCAGATCAGCACACTTTCGCTTCTCTAAGCTTCACGCCAACCCCCAGTGACAGATGGCAAATTGAAATAATATTTAATTATCCGAATAAATGTTCTGGATGAACTAAATAGCTGAATTGATTTTCATTTATGTATACATATTTACTCTATCATGAATATACTGAAATATATAATATATATAAGCATTAATAATTGAACATAAATTCAACATAGAGCTTTTAATTGAGGTTTTGTAAAAAGAGTAATTTTACACATTAATAAAAATGACTTTTTCATGTACTTTGATATCCTTTCTGTTAACTCAATGTCTATTTGCTTGTGCTACGTTCCCTGCTTCCTGCTACGTAAATAGGATTTTAAATAAATTATATTGCAATAGGGCTAAATATGCATCGCTGTTTCTCCGTGTCTCTGTTTATTTTTCTTTTATGTGGGGGACAGCGTGATAATAAAAATTTTTTGAAGGGTCTGCCCTCTGCTTATGAATATTTCAAGTAATTTTTTCTTCAAAAGAGAAAAGCAGCATATACTAAGCTAATTATGCACAACGTTTTTAGCTCAAAACGCAGGGAAAAGAAAAAAAAAATGAGAACAGGAAAATCCTTTTTCATGTTGGCCACTTCATTACGTTTGCCTTACGCAGTTTTGGTTTATTTTAATTTCATTTTATGATTTAACTTTACACCTGTTTGCTGAAACAACGTGGGAGAGGGTGGG